CCCCCCCCCCCCCGCGCAATGAAGCTTGACACACTAGTGCGTTACGCGTACGTGCATTTTTTTTTGTCGCTGGTACAGGTTTGTGTGTTCTCTTCTCTTTCTCCGTGGTATCTACACAACGTGTTCACCTTTTTTGTTCGACTCTCTTGTCGTTTGTTCTTCGGCATCGAAAAAAACAAGGTGTGCGGTTTCTTCTGCGACTACGTCATCATCCGGGCGTTTACGGGCATGTCGATGGAGCTGGTAAGGGCCTACGCGTTCTTGCCGGCCGTGGTGGCGATGCTGACCAAGAAGAAGGCGTGGGGGCGTCCCATACATGGGGTCACAGTAGAGGTACGTGTCCTGCTGCTGCTGCTGCTGCTGCTGCTGCTGCTGCTACCGCCACTGCCACTGCTGCTGTTGGTGGTGCTGTTGGTGCTGGTGTTGCTGTTGCTGTTGTTGCTGTTGCTGTTGCTATTGTTGCTGTTGCTGTTGCTGCTGCTGTTGCTGTGTGGCTGCTGTCATGATATTCCTAGAATCTTTGTAGTTTTACGTGAATCTAGCGCTCGTGCCACAACGGGTACATGAGGGTATGGCCGCAGAAGAACGGACAGTTCGGGTGTCGAAACACCTAACACCGAAACCCAGATGGACTGACTGACTCAACCCCCTCCGCGCATCTCCGCCGCCCAACTGAACAAAGGTTCTTGGTGCTTCCTTCCTTGATTCACTCCACACGTCTGGCACCCCCTCCTAACACGAAAACGGCACCTATTGCACCGCATCACACCGCCAAGGCTCGGAGACACCGGTTCGACAGCCAAACGTCAAACGTTTCGAACGGGGGCGGCGGCGTCGGAAAGGGAGTCGGCTACGGGATGGCGGGCCGTCACTTGCCTATCCCCGGCAACGGCGGCGGAGGTGGCGCCAGGCCCGCCTCGGGCGCGTCCTCACCAGTAAACTCTGGGTCCTCCTCTAACAGGATACCCATGCACCCGGGAGGGTTCTACTACGGCCAGGTGCGGAGGAAGTACATACCTTTGGGAGGGGGCTCAGTAGCATCATGCGTGCCGTAGTAGTCTTTTTTGACGGAGTACGTCGGCAATTCTCGCCGATCAGGCCCGCCTGCGCGCGAAGCGAGGTGGGGGGAGGGGGAGGAGGTTACGCACCAAAGCAGGAAGGATGGCTTTGCGTTCACGATCCTTACTCCTTCCTGCTGCTGGAGACGGCGGTTGGCAGCGTTTACGTACAGTAGTGGTGAAACGTGGGCAGTTCTGGCGTGATGTCGGGTGCTGGACTTGATCGGAATGGTTATGAATTTAATCTGATTCGTCTTTTTTTACGGGGACGACATCCGCGAAGCGCATTCCTAGTCTGTAAAGCAGCATGTAATAACACTCATGTGTCGTTGTCTTTTTTCTTGTATGCCTTCCTTCTACATAGTCCCGGCTTGTTTTACCTCGTGGCTTGAGCTCACTTACTCCCTTCCGGCCGCTCTCAACACGCGCTTCTCCCTTTGTACCCTTTATGTTCCTCTTTCTTTTTTTTCATCTTGTTGGTGTTTTGTGGCATTTTTTGTCGCTTCGTCTCCATGATTCACCGACTGCTATTTCATGGTTTGTTTCCTTTCTCTTCGCGTGTTCTTCCATCTGAGTCTTGTCTCTCTGTCTGCCCGTCTCGCCCGCGCGGTTCCGGCGGAAGATGTACGCGCAAGATCTCTTGGTGGTGGTGGTAGTCATGACGTACGCGTGCGTGGCGCCGGTGGTGATCGTCCCGGCCCTCATGTTCTTCTTCTTGGCGCAGGTCGTCTACCGGCATCAGCTCCTGTGAGTAGTTGTTGACTGCTGCTGCTGCTACGACTGTTGTAGGTGTCGGGGTCGTCGTGTGGCCAGTACCATCGCGATGCCCATGTGCTGTGACCTCGCTTTGTCGGCTTGGTTGTGGCGCCCGCTGCGAGTATGTGTTTGCTGCTTTTTTTGTTATTGCTGCTGCTGTAGTCGTCCGATCTAAGACCCCGACAAAGTGATTGCTGTCTCCTCCACACACCGTGTTCTCTCTCGCTCTCTGACGCTCCCTGTGGGCGTCTGCCTGTCCCTCCTTCCCTACCCCCTCCCCCTCCCCCTCCTTTCTCCCTCTCTCGTTCTCTACCTCTTTCTCCCTCTCTCATGCTTGCCGCGCATCGAAAATCACGAAAACACCAACAAACTTCTCAGCTACGTCTACGTCCCGACGTTCGAGAGCGGCGGCAGCTTCTTCCCCAAGATGTTCCGGAGGTGGATATTCGCGCTCTTCACCGCACAGGCCACCATGGTCGGCATGTGTCTGCTCAAACAGGGCTTCAAGCAGGCCTACAGCGTCATGTTCCTCATGGTGCTCACTTACGTCTACAAGGTGCGCTTATCCTGTCCAGACAAAGCGTTTAATTGCCATGATTTGTGTCTAATTTTTTGTTGGGGGGCGGGGGGGGAGGCACATGGAGGCACATCGCCGCCGTTGGGAACGCGGGGGTGCCGTGTACGGTCGGTTTTTGCTCGTGGCCATGTATTGACAGCGTACCCCTTTTTCCGCGCAGTACAGTCCCTGCGCCCCACAGAGACACCGTCAACATTCGGGGAGGGCGTAAATGACGTCGCGCGCCGAAAGGATTCTCATGCCCCCACCCCCGTCAGCTTATTTCTCTCTTTCCTCTCTCATGCCCTATGTTCACCTTCTCCCCGCTTCCGTCGAGGTGAACCCCCCCCCCCCCCCCCCTCTCCCCCCCCTTTGCAGGGATGCGACGTCAATGGGAGAAGGCATGCACGGCTATGAGTACACCCCCACCCCCCCTTGTTGTGTTTTCGCCATTCTAACCCCCCCCCTCAAAACGCTACCCACAATCGAAACAGAGAAAGGTCCGGTCCACCTACGAGCCGGTGTCGTTTTCCCTCCCCCTCGAGATCGCGAGAGGTCTCGACCTGGACAGGGCGGAGAGCGGCCAGGAGGGGCAGGAGGAGGACGAGGCCCTGCACCCTGCCGCGGACGAGTACCTGCAGCCGGAGCTGAGAGAACCGGCCTTCGTAGGGCCCGAGGACTTGTTCGTGGAGGCTAAGTGCGGCGGGGGCGGCGGCGGGGGCGGGGGCGACGGTAGCGGCCGTGGTGATGGGAAAGGGGGCAGCGGCGAAGTCGACGGGGGGGTCGACGGGGGGGGTGGGGGTGGAGGGCCGCCGGACGAGACCTTTTAGGGCGCGAGGAGGAGAGGGCGTTTTTCTTTTTTTTTGGTGTAGACTTGAAAAAAAAAAAAAGAAGACTTCAGAGAGGGGGGGAAAGCTTTGCCCTTGTGGTTGGAGATGAGAGCCGGAGTGTACGGTCGCTTGTTTGGCCCAAGACAAGACAAAAGCTTGGATGAAGAGGGGCGGGGGGCGGGAGAGAGGGACGGCATAGTCATTTGGTTCTACTGCTGTGTGGTAAAGACACGGATCAGGCATCCCCTTTTTTGCTGCCCCTGTGCCATGTTTTACGTAAAGCTTCTCTTCACGCACTAAAGTTCTCTTGATATGCTACAAGGTTCTCTTGATTTGCTGAAGGTTCTCTTGATATGCCAAAGGTTCCCTTGATAAGCTAGAGGTTCTCTTGATATGCGGAAAGTTATCTTGATATGCTGAAGATTTTCTCCATATGCTAGATGTTTTCGTAACTTGCAGAAGGCGAGGAGGGTGGTCGCGTGCCGACGCGGTTTTAGTCTTGATATGGATAAATGCAAGATTTGGGTCGATTGTTGTTGTTGTTGTTGTTAAGGCTGTTGTGGTGGTTGTCGTAGCGGCGTTTGTGTCGGTCCCATCGTAGGACGGGGAGGAGAGAAAGAGATGCAACCGCTTGAAACTAGGAGAGAGCCGTTGAAACCGAGAGAAAATCGTTGACGCTCTCATGAGTTATTTTCCGGTTGTTGATACGGAAGGCCTTTTTTAGATGAAGCGCTCGGAGCAAACGACGGCCGCCAGTGAGTTGGCGTTTTTCCCCTCTTTTTTCTTTTCATGGATCGTGCCCGATACTTTGGTTTTGTTTGGCAAATCACGAACCACAAGCTCGGAAAACTTAAAAATGACACGGGCACTGAAATGGGGTCGATCGGCCGTATGCATATGTACGACGGACACGAGGGTTGGTTGCTTTCAAGCTTGTTCACTACTCCTGTCCCTCCCATCAAGCGTGTGTAGTGTGTTTTCGATGATTTTTTTTGCAGCGGATCGCTCGCTCGTTTTGGTCCTCCTACTTTGTCTTTTCCGTTTTTGGTTCACGTTTGTGTGCGGTATTAAAGTAAACTAAGGGTTTCTTTGCGTTAAATCGAGTTATTACAGTCTATAGGTGATGCCGCGGGTGTGTGCGCCTCCTTCAAGTGAGTAACAACCTTCGCCCTCTGGCACATGTACATCGGTGTTATCTACTTGTTCTTTTTGTGCGTTTTTTTACAGTTTTGTCCTCTTCCGCCGGGCTTTATCCAATGGCGGGGTCCAATCACTCATCACACTCCCATCACGCGCTGCTGAGTGCATTATCGTGTTGACGCGCGTTTCAGCGACAATTTTAAGTATTTGTTCTTCTTTACGACGACAGCAGTAGTAGCAAAGGCAAGCGTGTGTGCTGCTTTTCTGTTTGGGCCGGACACAACTACAACGACATAATGAGGGGCTCATGTATCCCGCTGTCAGTGTGTAGAACGGCCGGCCGCCTTGTCTTGCATTGCGAGGTATGCGTTGCAAGCTATGATACGTCCGTTCTTGTCTTGTTCGAACCGACCTTCTGCGCCGGACAATGCGTGTAGGACGTTTTTTTGTCTTTTTGCTCCACGCGCCGGTTTTCTATCTTTTATGGATGGATGGTACGGCGGCGTACGTTCATGTTGCTCTCCGCCTTGTCTTCCCCGCCTTTTGCTTCCAGGGAATGCGATTAATTGTGTACTAGAGCCCCGAGGCGTTGTCTAGTCATAAGTCGATGTTGTTTTTTTTCGTTTCGTCTGTGTTGGTCTGCTGTCTCTATTGTTGTTTTTGTGCACACGGCGGTCCCACGGCTCGCTGTTCCTCCCTCGTGGGTTAACGCGAACTTGTGTGTGTGTGTGTGTGTGTTGCGCGCAGAAGCTGCCGCGATGGACTAAGAGTAGCAAGTGTTTTTTGCGGCTTACTTTCGAAGTAGTGTAGGCATCCGAACAAAGATGCCACGCGTTTGACCCCGCAATAGGTAGGCATGATTTTGGTGGTTTTATTTGTATCCTGTTAAAAAATAGTAGAATAAAGTTTTTTTCGCAGATTTTGGTGGTAGTTTCGGTGAGTTGCAAAGTGCTGTCGTTTCGTGTTCGGCTGTAGGGAAGGCTCTAGGCGAGAGTGTTGGCTTTTGTGAAGCCGTTCAGGAAGAGAAAAGTGAGGGGTGTTTATGCAACTTGGAGGTGGCATGCGCTGAAAGGGCAATGCTGCTGGGCGGTTCGCCCCTCACACGAGCAGTTGGCCTCCATACCCGACTCCCGCGGCGCTTTTGCGAGCTTGTTGACGCGAACAAATACAACGAACGTCGCTGATGCTACAAGGAAAACATATGGTGGTGTGTGTGGGCTGCAGTAGGAACGGTCTCCTCGTTTTTTCAGTATAATAGTATTACTGTACATGCAATATCTCCTGAGATACACCAGGACCTTCGTAAGAACCGTGTTCTGCTCGTCTGCCCCAAGCCCCGTTTCTCAATCTTTCTGTGAGGTAGTTATCCAAACAGATTTCAGTGCGGGATGAGCACCGGTTCATATGGTCAAGTTCCTTGCCTGAACTTCCAAGCTCCCACGCCCCTCACGCTCACGCCTCGTGACGCGCAAACCCCTCCCTACTCCCCTCTCAAGAAAGATTCCACGCCCGTGCACCTCTATCTTGTAGTCTACCCCTCCAAGTGATTACTATACCGAAGCATCTTCTGGAATGAACCGTTCGCAGGGCGTGGACTTTGTCGTCATCTCGTATTCTTGACCAATTTCCAGCAATGTTTGGAATCGATTGCCCCCTTTCTGCAAGCGCGCTCGGCGTTGCACAGGGCTTGCTTTTCCGAAAGGGAGACGAGCACCTGCCTGCCATATCGGAAGCGTGCCACGTCAGGAGCAGGGATAGCTTTGCTTGTGGGGCTTGCTCCGTCCCGAAAGAGGGAGGGACACGGGACGCGCGGTCAAGAACCAAGACCAACAATTCCTCGCGGCGAAGTCACAGCCCTTGAAGACGCCTCTTCCTCCTCTAGCCCCCCCCCGGAACGCTCCGTCCTCTCGAGGACGTGTGGTCAACTTAATGTCTAACCGCTAAGGCATGCAAATCTTAGAGTACCCCCCCCCCCTCTCAAATCATTTCCTGCCGGTATTCGTTCGGCCTCGATCTCGTTCGTCCATGAGCTTGGCCCACAACCGATCGCTGCAGAAGTGCGCTGCTGTATACCCGAGCGCGTCTTTAATCTCCACGTCCGCCTGACGTACAACAGCAGTGTACAGCAAGGGTGCGGAGACAGATTTGAAACGTCAAAATCGGGTCGAGCCTCAGCTTCTTAGAATTGTTCGTCGCCACTAGCTGAACATAAGCTTAGCGAAAGCATCCACCGCTGAGGTGTGATTTCTTCTAACCGAGTTTTCTTTCTTTTCGTGAAAACGCGAGCCTCTGTTTCTTGACGAAATAATAATTTCTCGTGACTGCGGGCTCGTAGTGTAGTGGGTGGGATGAGATGGGGGCGCGACAGAAATCGCGCAGATAGGTCCGGATGGGTGCATTTGCAGCTGTGGTCAGACGGGGTGGATTGCCCTACGATACGTAGTTGTAGCATTCGGTCTTTTTCTGTGATTAAAATCGATGTCGATGAAACACCATCGATCATTTCTGGCGGGCGTATGCATGTGGAGACTTTGCGAAAAGATGGTGGTTACAAAAGGACGGGGAGAGAACTTACGCAAAGAAAATTATGTTTCGAACGCGAAGCGCAGGAAGACACAACCAACAGCTCCTAGAAAGAAATGTCGGCGGGCCGTCTACTTTAGAAGAACGACCGGTGAAGGGTCACGACCGATGGATGGACACATGCGTAGTCAAACGTCCGCACCCTCCCCAAAAGAAAGCCACTGGTTTTGAAGTCGACCCACACCTCTCATCCCCCTCCGCCCACTCGGACTATCCAACACGGCCCAGCTCTAGATGACAGGCTACAAGCCCAACACACACGCAAAATCCTTCTCTTACTGCTGCTGCAACCGGCAACGATGTAACAACCACCGCCACCACCAGCAGCCAGAGCAACAGCTAGCTAATGGCTAGCTTACCCCAGCCTCCAGCAGCGCCCGCATCGCGTCTGCCTCGTCGTGCATCGCGGCCAGGTGCAGCGGGGTGAACCCGCACTTATCCCTGCCGTCGACCTTTCGATTCGAGGACAACATCCAACCAGAAAACAAAAAATGGCGACAAGCAACAACGCCATGCGTCACGCACGCGGCGGGCGGCGGACAGGCCGGTGAAAAAATGGGTAAACAGAAAGGAGACGTTGAACCGCAGAGACCTAGTGTGTACAGTGAGAGCGGCATGGACTATTACAGCACACCTCACAACAGCAGGGGTGTGTTTCGAATTGCGGTAGTGCACCCGGGCAGCCACCATTGACACACCAAGGTGGTTTCACACTTGGAGAGGATGCCACAGTCGTCGTGAGCAACAAATCAGCAAGGGCATGCGATCGTCGGAAAGAAAATCGTCCAACATCTCGCTTTTCCTCACTCGCGTCTCGACATGTGCTCTCAGCTAGCTCCCGAAGTGGGTGCACAGATTCAATTCACGGAGTCGTACCTGTTTTGCGACACTCGTCCAAGCATTTTGTGCTCTCACACTTGTAACACAACAAGTCGACCTCTTCCACAGACAAAAAGCATTTGCCTCGCTCACCTTGACCTTCTTAGACACGAGAAGCTTTACGGCCTTGTCCCTCCCTCTCGCTGCGGCGCGATGCATCGCCGTCCGTCCTGAAGAAGCGCCAGCCAGGGAGGCAGAGGGACAGACTGAAGTGCGGGTGGACAGAAACTACGCCGGTTGGGCAGAAAGAAACGACATCGCGAGGATTTGTGGCACACAGTTTTCTGATTGGTGGAAACAAAACTGCGGCGAAATTCTGAAATCGGCACGACCGAAGATCCTTGGATGACCCGTTGTCACCGATGGTCATTCGTGCGTGTACGTAATCTTGGCCAATCGATGCCTGCTAACGTGCCGTAAAACACAAACAACCGGATGAGGCGGCGGGTTTGGCTGCGGCAGGGGGGGCCGCGGCGGCACACGTGGAACACTGCAGTATGGACAACCCCGCTCGTGCTCACAAACAGAGGCATGCCTTCTTTTTACACGGCATTGGTAGCATCGACTCCATCAACTCGAGAGGCGTTTGCCGGTTTTCACCGGGGTAGGCAAGCAGCGTCCATCGACCACGAAAATTTGAGGGGAAGACGTATCGACTCGAGCACAATCTTGTTGCCTGGTGCCAGGGTTTAGGAGAGGTTACTGCTAGCCGGGCGCTTTCTCTGCGGTTGGGTGGCCGTGAACAAACCTGGCTCGGGTATCACACAAGCGCCATTTTGCTCTCGGTTGCTCTCTGCCTCCCTCTCCCTCTCTCTTTTTTTCCATCTCTCTTTCTGTCTCTCTCTGTGTCTGTCTCCCTCTCCCCCTCCCCCTCCTCTCTCTGTCTCCCACTCCCCCACCCCCCCTCTCTGTCTCTGTCCTCTCCCTCCCTCTCTTTCAACACACACACCGAGGAAACAACAAACGTGCCCGTCCGTTCTTGCTTTTGCTCACCGCTGTTGTTGGCGATACCAGGGTCGACTCCTTCGTCGAGCAGCAACCTCATGAACGCCGTGTGCCCGTTCCCGGACGCCACCATGAGCGGAGTCCAACCCGCCTGTGCGCGTGTGCATGCATCGTGCACCGGGTGTGACGGTCTCACTGGTCGCGTGATGGCCATTCAATAGAAAATTTTACAGCTGCAGTTTCGATTGGTTGGTTCTTCCATGGAGGGGGATGATTGCTGCTTGGCTCTGACGCTGTCCTACCCCCCCCCCCCCCCCCCCCCCCCCCCCCCCCCCCCCCCCCCCCCCCCCCCC